CTAAAATGGAAAAAATAAAAATAGAAAATGAAATAAAAACGAGTTAAAATTAGAAATTTTGTCTAATATTTTCACTAAAATTTTATTTATTAAATGATGAAATAATTCTAACCAATCGCTTTTCCAGGCATCCTTTTTCAATCATTTTTTTCATTGAAACGATTATAAGGATTATAACAAGTAGAATTCCCACTTTAGAAACGTTTTCCGCTGTTTTAGTTCATTAAATTTCGTTTAAAAAATTGCTAAGAAATTAAACAAATAAAAATTTTATGTGAAAAAAATAAACATTTTAATATGAAAATTTTCGAGAAATTTGAATGCGATAGAAATGAAAACTTTAAGCCAATTTGCGGACACAAATTTTGTTAGTTTCGTCTGCTTATCGCCGAACTGCAGAAGCAGAAGCTTTTCGGATCGACCCGCTTTCTACTCTCGTTGGACTCCTCCCGCAGAGATTTTATTTCGTTTGTTAAGCCGTCATCAGTGATTTCTTATTAAATTCTTGCTCTAGTGGCTCTCATCTATTTTTCTCTTATTTTTTTGTAGGTGCTGTTGTCTTACTTCCCCCTCTACTGATTCACAATCTTACTCCATGAAGGTAGCACTCACCTCGCTGAGTTGGATGCCTTATTAACCACTTTTTTTTATTAACTGATCCTTCACTGGTCCTTGATAATCTGATAATCGATGTTATCGATGTCATTCTACGGTTCGAATACCATTCCAGGTTACTTTAGATTAGCAATTCGCAATTCGACAACGCCAAATTTTTAGTAAAATTTTTGTGCAGCAAAAAAACTAGAAAACACGGATCTTATTTTTTACCTTTTTGGAATATTTTAAGCAGGTGCATGTGTTACATGAACATGTGTTACCAAATTTACGTCTGTTAATGTGTTTGTTGTTGTTTTTAAAAGCACTCAACATTTCTGGCTTTTCGGACCAAATTTCGTCATAAATTTATCCAGGGCGTCAATTGGCGATAGAAGTTCATGCGAATCACCAGTGTCACCCGAATCTTTAAAAAACCGTTTTATTCTTGCTAGGGGGTAAAACTCCAACATCTGATTCATATTACGGCTGCAAAAAATTTTATTAAAAAGCTACAAGTCGCAGGGCTTCTGCCTATCCTTTCAACTCTTCTCAAACAATAATTTTCACAATTTTGGAAAATCATTTTTCTTAGAGTCATATTAACTATTCCCCTATAATTTATGATTCTTAAAACAATTCTCAGTAAGATTTTTGCTCCAATTTTTCTACTTCTATTTGGTTTCTTGTAAAAATTTAGAATTCTTTAACTTAGGAATACTGCACGAGTTTGTTTAGAATAGAAGTAGATTGAAGGGGCTGTAATTTTTGATTGGATTAACATCATTTAAAGGAATAAATCTACCGACAAAGATTTAGATATCCTTGTTGTAGTACTGAGAAAGTGACTCTCACGCGAATATTCTCGTCCTTAATCAGTGGAGGAAGCCAAATCAGAAAATAATGAACGCTGTTCGATGAAAAAGAAAGTATTGTAAATAAAATCGCTACTGAAAAAAGTGTTCAGCATTTATGGAAGGCAAAAAGTTTTTTTTAAATAAAAGCAAAATGAAAATAAAAATGCAGCTCATACCCAACATGATTAGTAAATCCAGCATCAGCAAAAATCCAGCATTTTAGAACGAAATTTACTTGGAAACGAAAAAAAAATAAGATAAATTTGAAATCTTTTTGAAGGATTTTCTTAGCACCACATAAGAGATTAACCATAAAAAATTGGCTTCACGTAAAAACTAATCATGAAAGTGTATTATGCAGTAAAGTATATATATATATATATATATAATAGAACAGTCAAGCGCTTCAGTGCCAATATTAAAACTCATTTATATTTCCATGTTTTCATTTTATTTTCATGTAAGGCCATTAAATTAAAGAAAGGTCTTTCGTTGTGCTCTAAAGTTAAATCGATTCAGTCGCGATTCAATTCATGATACAGAAACAAATCTTTAATGGAACAACGACCAGCTACAAATTTTTTGCGTAAAAAATGGAAAATTTGAACCGGATAGAAATTTTCGAAAATCTCTATGATCAATCCATAATGAAGGGTGAAAATAGGATAGAAACAGAATAGGAAAGGTAAAACATAGGCCGACAAAATGTTTTATGTTAGTTGGTTTATTATCTTTTACCCAGTCGTATCGCTAATTTTCTCCACAGAAATAGCGACTAAAATCAAACGTTTAAAAGCTTCTCAATTTGATGCCATTTCTGAAAATAATTGAAGCTATTTCTTCCTCTATCCTATAAGCCCATATATCGATGGGTTTTATTCAAAATATTCCTTACCATTTCGGTCCAAATATTGACTGGTCTTCTTCGCTTCTGACTCTTCTATCATATGGTTTAGCAGGACATGTGGATAAATTCCTGTAGTTGAACATGGCCAGTGCAGATTATAATGTTCTTAGTGCAGGTGGTATATGAGCGAAAAGATGAAAGTGGAATTTTGTGAGACTGGGTTCAATTGAAGAGTGCATAGAATGCGAGGCAAGAATGGACAAATAGCTTCCCGGTTTTCCAGTACAACTGGTCAAGTTTCGCATTGTCCGTACTATGCTAGATAGGTGCAAAAAACGTGTCTTGAGGCTGATCTTGCGACGACTCCAAATAGGCTTCGCAGAAAGGCAATAGCCTTGTTGTAGCCATAGCTACAGCTTTAAATTTTACCTTTCATCTGCCATTAAATATGATAGGGTCCGAAATAAAAATCGACAGTTCTTCGACCGTTGATAAAGTTACATAAATTGTGATATGAGCGTATGGTATAAGACAGAGTTTCGTCTTATTCACATTGATTTGGGAGTGCTAATTTTCGCATTATTGTCAATTTTCCAGCATGGACGAAAACTGTAGAGGAGAGAACGTATTGGACTCGCTGGGTCACCTGTTTCATTACCCACACTTACAAATATTTATATTATGTCATATCTTTCTGCGCACTGCATTAACCATCACAATCATGTTGATTTACACGTCATAGAACGACTGCTAATATGTAACTTCCTCAATAAATTTAATATTGCAAAAATTCAATATTGAAACGAATAAATGCGAAGAAGTTTAATCAACAATAAATCAAGGATAACAAATGAGATGCAAATCATTAGGATCAAATATGGAAGAAATACGAATCTGCAAAAGTTTTTTATACAATTTCGCCTTTTTTTGCAAAAGATAACTGTTTTACAAAAAAAAATATGAAATGTTCACTAAATATATAAAGCTGATGAAAAATGACGACGAAACGTTTTATTTCAAACAAATATTGGGTGTTAAATATTATATTTTGAACTTTTATTCAAAAATTTTAAACCCATATTCACTACATACCTTACCATTCATTCATTATATAGAATACTGATATATTTCCCTAAAAAATAGTCCGAAGTACTCATTTTCAACTACATATAACAAAAAGTTAAATTTTGCAAATCTCACTTTATAACCGCATGGCAATAACCGCTTGACGTTTAATCGTTCCACCACCCATTCCAAAAAGATAGTGAATACTAAGAGAGAAAAACATCAAGGGCAAAATAAAGGCAAATAAGGCTGAATTAAAAAAAATAAAGTTTTAACTAAAGGAAATGTATGCGAAAAATTTTGCTGTGAATTGCAGCCAGTTCTCACAGAATTTTCCAGATGATTTCACAATTTTTTTGCAAAATATTTTTGCAGCGATCCACGTGAAATTTTTTTCACCAATTTCGAAACATTTGCGTATGCATGTATGCATAACATACCATTTCACTGTTCTGGTTATTTGACGTCCAGGGTCGCTGTGATACAAACATACAAAACTAAACGAAATATGCATACAGGTTCATTATTTCTTCGTATAATTCCACTCTTATAATTCCACTCAGTTGTGATGATACCATATAGCATAATCTTAAAAATTATGACAGCGATCGTTGCAAACTTGACTGAACAATGCGAGAATAAAAAAGAGTATGCATTATTAAACTGGGCGCGAGGAATAACGCCAAAATGTCATTAACGGATTGAAAAAAAGAATATGGTAGGAACAAAATAGGACCAAAATAGCATGATGAGAAGATATTAAGGGATATTTGGAGGCTTCGGGGACATTTTTCACAAAAGATTTGGCGAAAAAATTAAGTTCAAGGTTTTGTGGGTGGTATGACAGATTTTTAGAATTTGTTAATGGGCAAAAACAAAACGGCACAACACAGATTTGCTATTGTGCCGCAGTAAATTATAGTTAACATAGTATCTCAAAAGAAGCGGAATTTAATGAAGTGTCTTATTAGATGGCTTGAAAAAAAGTGATATTACAAACTGTGATTTAAGCGATTGCAACGGCATATGAGAAAGTTTGCAATAATGTTACTAATGCAGAAAAACCAGAAAAATGTCAGCTAGATTTCATGGAGCATTAAAGCAATTTCTAAATTTATTCTAAATGTACTATAAATGTATTATAGTAGATTTCGAAGAAACTGTTAAGAAAAAAAGGCAAGATCTAAAAATTTTGAAGGTGAGATCCGAATGCGTTTTAATAACTTGCAAGAGCAAAATACAATTTTAAGGATGAAAGAGATTATAAAAAGAAATAAAAGGATTTAGAGGGATTCAGGATTTAGAGAATGAAAATGGCACTAATAAGATAAAACATAACGAAAGAAATATAATGGAACCATAAGGAGAAAAATAAGCTTTCTGCAAACACCACATACGTACTAGTACCACAAATTATTTATAGTTTTCTAATTATATGCATTTTATAACTGAAAATTTTCAACTGAATTGTTTTAAAAATTTCTTATCGGCCTATTATTGTTCATTGCAAAATTATTTGCAAATATTACGATGTTATATGCAGAAATTATAGAATATTATAAACACTATATCAAATATATGTAATCAAATATGATGAAATAATGTGGAAAATTCTGTGAACTGTATATGAGAAACAACTATTGTACAATATCAGTAGCAAATCGAAAACCACACTGCTGCAGATCCGATGCATAGTTATAACCACGCGATCGACGAGGTACATTGCCGCCGCTCCGTGAATACCCGTTATAATTTTGTTTAATTCCATTATTGCCACGGCTATTACCACGATAATATCTATGCTTCATTTGTCCTCCATTTTCTAGCGATCCAATCGTATCATTTTTTTTTTCTGATTTCTTACCAATAATGGCAGAATTAGCCACACTCGTGGTTTTATTGTGATCAAACATTTGATTATCACTTCTTTGATTTGGCACATAGCTTCGCCCATCATTTAGCATAAAATTTTTACTTTGATGCTGACCTCCCTGCCTAGCGCGATACCCACCACGACCACTATTTCCTTTATATGCACCACGTTTATCAAATCCATACCTTTTAGATCCATTTCTGTTTGCTCGACGACTTTCAACAGGCTTCCATTCATCAGCTTGCTCTCCATTTCCACTGTTGCTGATACTGTTTATTCCTGTGATATTATTAATAATGACTGGTGTTTGCTGCGCATATATTTCTGTCTGAGCAGCTATGCCCCCCTGCTGATGTAGAAAAGTTGAATGCACTGGCTGCATATGCAACGTAGGCTGTGATAGCATCATAGGTTGCACATGAATAAGATGCTTTTCCAATTCTGAAACTTCCCTTTAAAAAAATTTATTCTTGAATACGAGTAGAAAACATAAACTTTTTAATAAATCACCATAAAAGCATAAAAAATAATGAAGAAACCAATATTTTATACAAACGTGGTATCTGAAATATATGTATTTGAAATAACTGAGATTTTGCAGTTTATCCCGTTCTCAACCTTTATTTAGAAATACCTTTATGTCGATTATTACATTAGGTAAAACTCATACAAAATAAATTAAAATAAGTGATAAATATATTTTTTCGTAAGCGGTTATGTCGGTCATTTCTCTATGTCAATAATTCATTATTTTCACTCATTGTGCTTCGCTGAAAGAATAGAAGGAATATATTATTCTTATTGCATTTGTCTAAAAAATATTCTTTTCAAAGTATATTGTTAACGTTTTATGCCCGGCACTTATAAAAGGAAATTTCAAATGGCACCGAAAAAAATAGTAACTAATGAGGTTGTTTCCAGTAATGATGCCAGCTGCTTAAATAAAACTACCGAGGACCTGAGATTACAACTATCCTCCATTACTGAGAAATATGAAAAGCAGCAAGATCTAATTTTACACTTAACCAGATCTGTAGAAATACATTCTTTGAATGGCAACTTTGAGCGTCCACAAAATCACAACTGAGCAAATCTTGAAAACTATCGATGAATATTTCGAAAAAAAAAGAACCATGTCTAATTGGTATTCTGGAGAAAACCCTACGGAAGATGAGGCTGTTACTGCCGATAGGCTCTTAGCAGAGAATAGCTGCCGCTGGGGTCAAAACTGATTGTAGTTTAAGTTCATCGATATGGAAAGGTCAGGCCACGAGTAAATAAATTCAACTTGAAAATAGGTATATAGCCATATATTTTTTGTGCAATAAAAATGTGCGCTCGATCGTTCACATGGAAGCAGAATGATTTAACAAAAAGAGAACTATTGCTAAACAAACTGTTGCGAAAAAGAGTATAGTCTCAACGTAAAGAAATACGTCGTGAGAATAGTGGAACTCAGGCAGCCTCATCAATGGTTTGTAATGAATAATTTTTCTGTTCCACCTTTTTCTCATCACTCTACAGCCTAGAAGAATTTGCCAAGTAAGGTTAATAAGATAGGAAGTAACTTATCTTTTTATATTTAGTGCTAGAATTTAAAATATAAACTTTTTGACCTACAGCTCATACTAATTGATGATTTAAATAGTATGTATCAATGAAGTGTGGTTGATGATATCGGGAACTAAATTTTAACAATTTTATAGTAACAAAGACAGAATCAATAGTTTAAATACTCGTGGAGATGGGCTTATTACGCTTATTCCTGATTATTATAAATTTATAACTTTTATTGATTACATTTGTTCCTCTTTTGAATCTCTGATAACTAAAATTTAACTTAATAACAGAAATATTTCCATTTTAAATCTATACCACTCGGCTATGGAAGCAAATTCACTAGGAATCTTTAAAACTTGTTAAAACTGAGTTTGTTGAGTTTAAAATTATTTGGTGCCAATTATCTAATCGTTGGTGATCTTAATATGCCCAACATAAATTGAGAAATAATTGCTTGAAAAATAGCAGCAAATTTGAAGATAACTTTCTGAACTTTTATACTCATATAGATATAGAACAACACTGCCACGGTATAACACTACATTGGATACTAGGTAATTCTACCTCTCTTACTGATAACATTAAAGAAGTCTTGGAACCTTTTTGTAGTAGTGATCACAATATAATTCATTTACCTCCCTTGATATTTTTTAAGAAATTACCGTTATTGTGACTATGAAATTATTAATTCTACTCTCGCAGAAATAAAATGGTATTTCTTCTGTTGAACCACTCTACTGATGAAAAAATTAATTTTCTTAATAGCACCTTCTTCTTCTAACAGCTCTCACCATTACTGGTTAGGCTAGCTCAGCTAGATGCAAAAGTAAGACGTCTCCAAGCTCCTCGGTCCGATGCCATCGCTAATAGTAATAGAAGCCAACCCTTTTTCCATCGCCTAACTCCATTATCGCTGGTCCTCCTATACGTTCCTGACTGTATCAGTCCAGGTTTTGACTGGTCCTCCTAGCTTTTGACACCAACCAACATTCACAGGATTTAGCAAATAACGAAATATGCGTCAAATCCTGTGGCAGATGACGGAGAACGTGCCCTAACCAGCGAAGGTGACGTTCTGTTATTAATGAAGATGGTATTTGAGTGAAGGTGTATATAATCTTGTGCAATACAGTCTTAATTAGCACCATTTTATATCTTATAGAACAATATATCCCTTTAAGCAAAAAAATGTTAGGTTCCCATTTTTCTAAAATTTTTTTAAAAAATGTAAAGCTTTACAATACAAATTAACCAAATTATGAAATGATCTCTCTGCATATAAAGAATACTTGAAAAATTTCCGTAGCGCCATTCATAAATACTTTTCAAATAAAGAAGAGCAATTTTTAAATGTCAATAGAGATTCTTACCAAACTTACATTACATTAAAAGAAAATTATAATAACAAATAATTCAGCAACATAATAATAATGTGATTACCTCTGATATTGATATTGCAATTGTATTTAATCAATGTTTTTCTAGTGTATTTGTTGAGGATCATACTTCTTGTTTTAACGTAAATCAAATTTGTTGCGCTTCTCTCGGTAAGGTTGAAGTAACACTACTGGATGTTTATGATGCCTTAAATAGACTTCAGCCGTCCATTTCAGCTGGTACAGATAATATTCCACAAATAATTTATAAAAAATGTGCAGTTTCACTGAGCCTTCCCCTATTTTTAATTTATTTAATTTATAGGGATCTTATGAAATCTGGCCTTAATCCCAAAATTTGGAAATTGCCTCTTGTAATTCCCATTCATAAAAAAGGAACCACCTATGATTTTTCTAATTACAGCCCTATTAGCCTAACATGCATTGGTAACAATGCACTCGAAAGCTTGATTTGCAACAAATTGCTTATCTTAATGCCAATAATTTCATATCCTATCAGCATGGCTTTTGTGCAAAAAAATCTACTTCACAAATATTGGCGAATCTTTTCGATAAGTCAGCACCAAATGACAATGAAAAAAAAAAATCATTTATGTGCCTATATCTAACCAAAGCTTTTGATACTGTTTCCTATATTAAATTGTAGATCATCCTTAATAATTATGATATTACAGGACACCTGTATAACTTGATATCAGATTACATAAAAGATCGTCACCAAGCTATATGTGTCAACAACATCCTTTCTGATATGACACTTGTTAAATCAGGCGTTCCTCAGGATAGTTGTATTGCGCCATTGCTATTTTATTATACATAAATCATATCACCAGTGGAACTAAACTAAACTCTACCATTTATCTTTATGCTGATGATTGTCAATTTTATTATTCTCATGGTATAGCGGATACCTTATCTCCACTGCAGAAGGATCTCAACAGAATAGCACAGAATAGCCGGCTATATGACAGGCAAATTACCCTTTCTTTTCAAAAAATAGCGTTTTACATATAAATTCGAAAGGATTCTTCCAATCTTTTCATTAATGGCAATATTATTAGACAAGTCTTATGTATTTCCAATCTTGGCCTAATCATGGATGAAAATCTTGACTTGGATCTTCACTACAGAACCATAGTACAGAAATCCTCAAAAATACTAAATTTTATTTTTCATTCATTTAAAAAAAGAACTCAACGTTTTCTTATCAAATTGTACAAAGCATTCTTCTGCCTCTTCTTGACTACAATATTACCTGTTACTCATCGAGATATCGAAAATTAAGAAACAATTGGAGGACTCCAAAAATATTTCATACAACGCCTTATTCCTAATAGCAATTTTAATTATAAAAGACAACTAATTATAAAAGACAACTTCAATAATACAATCTGGATTTCCTCTTAATTCGAATTAAGCAAGATTTAATTTATATTTATAAAGTTCTGTATGTTAAACTAGATTGTTTAAAAAGATTGTTATTACTATAATTTTAGGCTGAATTTGTTTGAATTCCAACAAAACTAGCGGGCTAAAATTACTAAAACATATATGTAAAACTAAACTAAGGACTCATGACTTTTTTATTCGTACTAATAATTACTGGAATAAATTACCGAACGATATAACTTATGTGTCATCTTTAGCTATCTTTAAAAAAGGTTAGATAATATCATTTATTTAATATTATTTAAAAAGTTCACCTCATGCAGGAAGGATGAAGTCTCGACTTTTACCATGATTATGTATTATATTATTATATTATACTATTTCATAATGTTTTATATTATACTATTTCATAATTTCCTCTTTAAATTGTTAATTTTTGCCATATTTTTTTCTTTTTTATTATTCGTTAACTGTTGTTATTAATACAAAAACATGACGTTTGTCGCCATGCTTGGCTGATTTTCAATAAATAAATAAGTGCAAGATATTACCCACAAAATCAGTATCTTATAATTAGCAATATTAAGATATTATTATTACAACTTTTACGAATCAATAACCTGAGGAGTATAAGAGTAGAAGGATCTTTAGCATACATGCATAACCCATACATTTAATACCAAGTTTACTTCCGCTAATCAAGAGGAACAAACAGAGTTCGACCGCAATTAAAACATCACTTTTAGGGGATACGGCCTTCCAATAAAACGAAGTTTTAGAACATAAACCCAAAACAAACTTTGGAAAATTGCAATAAACCCAACCTCTATATTCAATTTCGAAAAACAACTATAAAAATAAAACTAATATCTTCCTCTTAGAAAATGAATTAGTTATACCTTGTTCTTGGGAAATTTTATCTTGAACATCGACGCTGACAATGGGATGAATTCCATTTTGTTGGGCATCAACTGATAATTGAATCTGAGGTGAAGAAATAGGAATAATTTGGGTTGTAGTGCTTTCGTAACCGAATTCCGGTCCTTTAATTCGATCGAAATCTATGTGAGCAGAGTTACCAGTTCCCTGGACAAAAACGACCTAAAAAATCACCAGAAAGATGATAGAAATTTAAAAAAAAATAGAGATTCTCCAAGCAACATACTATTAAAAAAATTGTTTTGAAAAACAAATCAGAGTGTTAAGAGCAATTGATAATATAATACCTTTGAATCATTCTCAAGTACGTTTCTAGGTATTTCATCAGACTCCATAGACAATTTCTCATTTTTACTTGCTTTCATTTGGAGATCACATTTGATAAAATCGCTTGTGCTAACAGAATCTAACAATAACTTCAATTTCGCTCCTAAAAAATAAAATTTATATTTTTTAAGCAATGCAAAAAGCCAAAAACAATATCAAAAAATTCTAAAGTTACCTGATTTTTTGCCAAATAATCTATCTTTTGTGCCAATTATTATTGAAACAATTCGATGCGACAGATCTTCAGATTGTTTATACCATTCTGCATTTGAGGCATACGGATTTAGCTGAGGATTAAGCCACTGGAAACACTCATCGATAGCAGCTAAGGTCTCCGAAGCTTTCTGAAAATTAACATACAAATGGTTCCAAGATTTGAGAGATTTCTGAATTAAGCAAATTTCAAATTTTGCAAGCGAATTTCAAAAATATGATTATGGTCAATAAATTACTTTTATACATTGAATGAACAGTCCCGTTGCTTAAATTTCAATTATAACTTACATACTAATCGCACAAATCTTATTTTTAAAAAAAGTGACAGATGAAAATTACCAAATTACAGGTCGATTTGAGTATCTTAAGGTTGCCTTGTAAATATTATTTTCAATTTCAACAGCTTTCCGACATTTAACCTCTAAAAACTATTGAACCTATTCTGTTGATTATTTTAATTTAGTTGAAGTCCTAAAGCCGTTCTTCATACTGTGGTATACCATGGACATATGATAGGAAAAACTGTCACAAAATGATCAAAATGATTTAGTGATTTTACGAGAGAAATTAAACCACCTTCAAGTAATTGTAATATTCCAATTCAAAAAGCTCTGACCCTCCAATAATTTATATAGATATTATTCCATTAACATTAATTGTTTTTTAAAAATAAATTTATTTCATTTAAAATTTAATGTTCGCTAAATCCCGAATATTTCAAGTCTAGTAATCGAATACCTTCAAAAACAATTTCAATATCGCGTCCTAATTTCTTAATTTCCATATTAGTAGTCAGCTACTGAAAAATCCGGATCATATAAATCCGGATTCATTAATGATGGCAAAACAAGATATGATCCATGTTTATAAAATATTACTTGGCAATAGGGAATTTATGCAGAAAATATTAACATATTAATATACATAAATTCTAAACTTGATGCAATGAATTAAATTGAATTTACTTAAATCTATCTGTAAAACTAAATGAATGCGCCATTATTTTCGATCAATCAATTATTGAAACAGATTGCCCGAGAATGTGGTTCTAATTTCACTAAATTTCGTTTCAAAAATGAATTAAACAAAATTATTAAATTAGTTAAGTTAAATAAAATTATACATGATATTATCGCAAATTAGTTTCTTGTTTTCATTACTACTCAATTATTTTTTTATCATTTTTTACAACTGCAATGAACTCGTATTTTTAGCTTGGCTTAGTTTTATAAATGAATAAAAAAACAAATGAAAACTTAACCTCAGCATCATCAATAAACTTCACATAAGCTTCTCTAATTTCAGCGATTTGCATAACTTTTGTAAGATTTTGTGAATATATAAAATCGGCTAATAATTTCCTATCATTTTCAGCATGCTGCAAAAAAAAATCTGTGGAAAATAACTCCACAATATTTCGCAGAAAATATAATAATCATGCCCTACAATGAATAAACTGCTAATTTTACAATTTGATAAAAGTTAAAGTTAAAGTTATGATACTTAGTCAACAAAATCGAAGTTGCATAATGAGATTAAACGAGATGTTAAGGGAATATAACGGCATCATGTTAAGGATGAAAATTCCACACAATCAAGATATTTGAGATATACCTAATATAATTATGGATATTGAAAAAATTGAAGAAGAATAAAGGTGTTTTCAGAATTGCAAGATGGCGCTTAAAAACGGGATTTGGGGAAATTGCTTATTAAAATATATACAACAAATTTATTTCAGAAAATATTACGTTAAATAAATTAGCCTTTCATTTTTTGAATAGTTCAGCACTACTTCATATTTCACATCTTATTTTCAACTTAATATTTTCTATGTATCACCACTATATCTCAAATATAATAGGATTTGCAATAACAAAAGATCAAGAAATTTTACCCTTAATTTTTTAGCACGGTTGTAATCATGCAACATGGTAGGAATAATTTTTCCAATATCTCTGAAGTATTCCAACTGACTTTCAACCTCGGAGATGTGCAAAAGAGCTTCACGCTGGGCTTCTGTTAACGTTTTCCCATTTTTTATATCTTCTTCGTATTGAACAAGTCGTAACTAAAAAGTTTCCATAAAAAATTGACAAATCATATGTTTAATTTAATTAACATTGTTAAATAATATTGTAATTAACATTGTTAAATAATATTGTAACCTTTCGTTTTTCAAGATTTCGTAATTTTTTTTCGGTCATTTCCATAAGCCGAAAATATGGATCTTGATAAAGATTATCATCGGCATCAGGCATCGCACTATTGGAGCTATTGACATTATTGTTGTTACCAACCTTTGCCATAATATTCCGACTTGTGAAGTCTTACTGAAATACTCAAAATCTGACGATTAATGACCCTATCTATAAAAAATGATAGGCAAGAATAGAAAGTCGTCGAAACCGGAATTTCAAACAAATTCGATATTTAATATGTTAAGAAATCAAAAAATAAACCATATATAAATTCCTACCACAGACCTCCATTTCCACAATTTGTCAAAAATTAATCAATATAGGAAAAAGAAGCCTGACTAAAAATTTCACAGATACATGCTTTTTAAACGATATTTATAATAATCTCAGCAAATCAACTATTTCCAACTTTAAGAAAAAAGCGAAAGACAATGGAAAAATATATAAACGACAGAAGAAGAAGAATTTAGGATAATGTAAATTATATTGAGATTTAAAATACTGTTGCGAAATATTAGCACGACAGAATATCTAGGTGAGTGGAAGAGATAAGAATGTAGAGAGGATGACAGAAAAGATAAGAGAAAAGGTAAAAAGATGCTTTAAGGTACCAAGGGATTTATGTGGATAACGAAAAACATATAGTTATTATTAGAAGATGTTATAAGAGGTCAATTTCACTTTGAGTTAATGTTAAGAATGGTGATAAACTATTAAAATGTAGAATAAAACAAAAAGGAAAACAAAATCAATATTATATCAAAAAATATTGCTGCTACAAACAAAATATTATCATATTCGACTATTGATTATTAATGAATAAATTTAGACTGCAGTGATTTTAGACCTTCACATTAACATTTTCATTGTCTGAGAATGTTCTTTGCGCAGATTTCATCCTAATTTTACAATTTTGAATCTAGAAAATCAAAAGATTATTTCGTGAGCCCTGTTCATTCTTTACCTTTTTTGGCTTCTATAACGAAAACAACCTCTTTTTCTTTTTTGAGATTATCAGGGCTGGATATAAAAACAAATGACAAGTGAAATAGCTAATCTTCGTAATGCCGATTAAATGAGCTTTTAACTGCTCGAGTTTTGTAGTTCAATTAGTGCGACAAATATTTCATGCAAATAATCTACATATTGTAAGTACTAATTGATGAGGTAGCCCCCACTGCAAACATCTCAAGCTTGTCCAATCCTCTCGATTCGATGCAACCTGAAAATAACAGTGCTAGTGGAGGACATGTACAGTGGGGGAATAACAGTGCTAGAACAGGGCTTGGGAGTGGAGGACATTAAGAAGTTGTCTTCTCATCATGTCTAAATTATATGTAACCAATTCGCCCAGTGGATAAAATTTCACTTGTTTTCGCTCAAATACCATTTCCATTAATACTACCATCATAGATTGTCGCTTTCGCTGGTTATGTTTTCCGTCGTCCACCACAGGGGTTGATATTTCGTTACATGCTAAACCCTGTGATGGATAGCGCTAAAAACGAGGACCAATCAAGACCGGAACTGATACAGTCAGAAAAGATTTTGAACGATATATGATAACGATAACTTAGATAAAGAATGGAATGGTTCCTAATACAATGGTGTCGGACGGAAGCTTGGAGATGTCCTATCCTTACCAGTCGGTAAAGCCAGCTTAACCAGTAATGATGGGAGCTATTAAAAGAAATTAACAGAAAGTAACAGAAGTAACAGAAAGTAACATTTTCCTACACCCATGAGTCGCCGGATTAAGACCCTCAATACGCCGATGAAGTTTTCTTTTCGCTAACAATTAGCAGGAATTGTAACAGATACTGGACCAAGCATCGATAGCAGCAGCTAATACTAATCTTTAAATCAAGAAAGACGAAACTTTTTTCATCATATAATCTAGATGCCGCAATTTATACAAATGTCCAAAGTGTTAGGCTTTTAAATACTTCCGACTCATTCTCAAAACGACCAAACGAAAGATTCCAGCTCGAACGGTTGCAGTTAGGCTTTCTTTGGCGAAAACTCTCTGGAGTGCCACTTTGAAATCAGCTTTAAAACAAAAAATCGCGTTTAGCTGGAGCATGCATACGTTTACTACACGGCTGAGCCAATAGAAGATATCAGAGAACTAAATGCGTTTGACCATTCGTATCTTATGCACCCAGTAAGTTGACAGATTCTCACATAATTACTCATTTTTGCTCGAATACCATGGACATTAAGAAATGAAAAGCGTCCCTGCGCTTTCCATATTCCTCGCCATTCGCCACAGAAATCGACAAACATCTCGCAACTTCCATGTAAGCGACAGCGTCAAAGACGAAAACGACCAATCAAAACCTGGACCGACACGACTTTGAATGCATAGGAGGCCTAGCAGTATATGGCAGAAGAAGGAAGGGACTAATAATTTTCAAGCACAGCGCCAGATTGGAAAGCTTGGAAAGCCTTAGCCTAATCGCCCGTCGCGTGAGCCCGTCGAAATGGTGCCAGCGGAGCCACCAGAGGAGGTAGGAAATGTTTAATCTTAATTACAAAACTTTATAAATTGATAAGTTAATGAAATTAAAAAAGAAAGTTAAAAATGAAAAACAGCAAAAGAAATTTAAACTTAAAACTGAAACATACACGATTTACTTCCAATGAATTCTACCCAGTTCATAATTTACTCTAAGCCAGACATTGTTCCATTTCCGCCAACGACTGTGCTCTAAATCAACAGCCCCATCCCAATAAAATTCAGCCCCCCATCATTCACAAGAAAACCCCTTTCCCTCCCATATTATATAATCAATCCAGTCCGACAAGAACACTGTAGACTTTTTCCCTTTAAGACCTTAAATTCAAACAATTGTGAATAATCTATTGCAGCGCTCTTGCCCCAAGACTTAGTTTTCGAAATTTGGCATTTCGTGCCAAATCCATCCTAGGCTCACCCACTAAATGAAAATAAACAAATCATTAGGTCTTGTAACGATTTTCTGATTACTTATTACTATTTCCAAAAATCGCTGTGAGAGCGGCTATTTGCTGTATTATCGGCTTATTTTATAATTTTGGATATTTTCCTATTCTTTTAATGATTATATCACATCAAATGATAAAATGGTTGGGTTTGTGAATGTTGTGATTGCGACCACTTTTTTCCAGCATTCGTACTTATATTATTACTATTTGTTAAGTTGTAAATTATTGTAAATTACAATTATTTTTTACTTGAATATGTCTTCTTCTTCTTCTAACATCTCTCACCATTACTGGTTAGGCTGGCTCCGCTGGCTGCAAGAGTAAGACGTCTTCAAGCTGCTCGGTCCAACTCCATAGCTAGTAGTAATAAAATCCGTTCCTTTTTTTATCGTCTATATCGCTGTCCCCTATATATGTTCAAAATTTTTCCTGACTTATCAGTCCAGGTTTTGACTGGTTCTCCCCGCTTTTGGCGCCAACCATCACAAGTTTAGCAAGTAATGAAACATGCGTCAACTCCTATGGTGGACGACGGAGAACGTGCCCAGCGAAGGCGACGCTCTATGATAATATTAATACAGGTGGTAGTTGAGCGAAGATGGATACAATCATGTGCGATCTTATCCACTCGACGGATCCGTAAAATATATCTTAGGCATGAGTGGTCAAAGGCGGATAGCTTCTTAATATCTTCCACTCTCATTGGCCATATTTCGCAGTCATATAGCATTAAACGAATTGCAGCTATATGGACTCGGATTTTCGTCTTTATGGTAATTTCGCGACGATCCCATAAAGGTCTCATCAGCCGAAAAAAACATATTTCTAGCTGTATTATTTGGGTTTCAATTTCATCTTTCGCCTGGCTATTTGGAATTAGAGTGGATTCAAGGTATTTAAAATCGGGCACATCCTCAACCAGCAATGTATTGATAAAAATAGGTATTTTATCAGCATCTTGTATATAAGACGAAAAGACTTTCGTTTTATTTATATTCGTTTTAAGTCAATTCTCACTGCAGTTGGTGACAAATTGTTTATTTGCATTTCCTTATAACTGTCAGCAAAAACGACTTTATCAAGATCTATGATATGTTGCTCTGGACTAATTTGCACACTTCTTGAATTCCGGAAACGATGCCCATTATCCAATTTATATTGTAGAGGAAAGGACGTACCCTTGACAGACACCAGTTCTTATTTCGAAGGAGTTTGTCAGCTCCTCAATATACACAGACCTGCGCCGACATGCGCTCATAAAATTCCTTTATGAGTCTAATGATTTTCTCTGGAACACCATCACGTTCCATCATCCTCCAAAGCGCCGCTTTATCAATTGAATCAAAGGCAGTCGCAAAGTCGATGAAACACGTGACAGTGTGTTGCAAAATCTGAAGCGATGTTTCAACATCCTTCTTAACGTGAATATCTGGTCAGCACAACCGCGCCCTGGTCTGAAACCAGCTTGATTAGGGCGCATCCTGCTGTCTCGTACTTCCATAAGTCTGTTGAGTAGCAGGGAAGCAAAAATTTTTGCTGAGACGTCTAATAGGCTGATTCCTCGATAATTGTCGCAACATATCCTATCACCTTTCTCGAGAATTGGGAGCAGAATTGCTTTGCTCCAATCATCTGGTAATATTTCTTTTTTTCCATACTAAAGAGTACATTTGTTGCCTTATGAAGAACAATGGACAGCATTTGAAAAGCTCAGCCCGAGGACCATCTTCTCCTGGAGTTTTGTTGGCCTTAAGCTTATGGATAACTGAAATTATTTCTTTTTCTGTTGGAGGCTCGCAATTGCAAACGTATGCTTCGGCAAACGTATCAGCTATATTAGGGGCAACAGATGGCGTTTCATGGTTAAGTTTGGTCTCGAAGAATTCTTTTCATCTTATGAGGCGATCCTTAATACTTTTAATTAATACGCCATTGCTGTCTCTTACCATTTCACTGATCGTCCCCGAGTCATAGTTGCTTTATGAAGAAGGCGAAATAGTTTCCTACTGTCGCCTAATCGAGCCGCCTCCATTCTTGAGGCCATGTCACTCCAATAGAGATTTCTCTCCCGCCTTGTTGCTTTCATTGCAAATCTTCGAAGCACCCGGTAGTCAGGATCACCTGACATTCATGCTTTGGCA